GTTTCTCCAGCATTGTTTCTGGTCTCCAACATTATTTATAGGAATTCAAAGAATTCCTAGATGGTAACAGTAAACGGATATTAAATACAAATCTAGGAATTTGGAGAAATTTAGTAACCCAAGCCAAAAGAAAAGAAATACTTATTATAACCGGTGATTTTCCGAGAGAAACTACCCACTGCCTCATATAACTACAGAAATAACCTGGTCTAGAGAATAAACCAACCAGAGGATGGCAGTGCTATGGCCAAGAGAGTAAATCTGCCATATTTTAGCCCGTTGTTTACAAAACTGGGACCAGTTTTACCTTTATTTTTCAGGAAGTGCGTTGCTTAGCAGCAAGAGCACCTGCCAACACGTATAGGCAACTAGATCTCCAAAACCTATCCGTTTTCGCCAATGCAGTCGACAACCGGCAGTTCTTAGGAGTGTGAGCAAAATTCTGTTTGACGCACAGTTCTTAATTTACATTGGCGTCGTCAAAACCGGCCACATAACGTGAACAGACCTCAAACATAGCCACCCAAATATAACTGAGAAAGACATGTGAACTATTTTAACTACACCGAAAATCGTCGGGTGACGTAAGCTACTCTGCAGGAAACCTAGTGATACTACCTGCACCTGGACAAACGTAAGGACATAAAAATGGAGAACAAAAATTCGGCAAGACCGTACCTCAAGGGATCGTTCCTTGTTGCCTGCGTGCCGCTCCAGGTCGGCATACTTCTTCCAGTAGCCGTAACAGTAAGGGAAATGGTCCAGAAATGCGTCAAATGCCTTTCTTGATACTTCGATGTCATTCTGCAAATAAGACACTGTCATTTGAGGCAAATTTTAAAACTAAAAGCGAGGTTTACATTTGTCGCCATGCAGTCTGTTCTAGAACACGGCTGCGAAATAATCAAAGGGTAACCATCTTTAAGAAACTTTTAAGTTTCAATAAAAAGATCTTACATGTTTTTCTACGGCATCAAGTAAACTAATCCAAGCGTTGAAATCGCCCAGATTAGCCCGGACTTTCCGCCACAGCTTATCGACGGTGCTCATGGGTTAGCCACGCTTTGTTTGTATCAACTGAGAAACGCGCGTTTGGTCAGGTTGCGACCTTCTGTCACATTGGCGAAGATTAGAATATTCGTTAGGGAGATTTATGGTTGTGTGCCTCCCATTGTTCATGTGCCTAACAGATAGATGCAGTCATGACAATGCATAGTGCTGGAGCGCAACCGGTTTTGATTACGTGCATGAAACGTGGACGACACGGGCTTCTTATGAGAAGGTTAAGAGGGAACCGGTAGTATACGTCACAGTAAATATGCATCCTTCATTTGTTATAAAAGACAAGAAAATGATAAGGAAGCAGGCTTAATTTTCCAGCTGAAACAGAATCTCTCAATCTATGAAAAAAGGAAACAGTGAAATGCCATCAGAATCCACCTATAGAACTCAGCAAAAAATTGTCTCATTCATAGGTTTTCATTTGTTTTCATTCAACTGTTTTTTGCGTTTGATTTTGTCGTTCACACGTTTTTCAACATGTCAGAAGAAGGTCCATCTTTCTACGAAGTCGATTCTGACGACTCTGCTTCTACCGTGTCTCCCGAACCAGTCGATAGGGATGAACCAAATGCTTTTCAGATTTCTATTAAGCTACCTACCTATAAAATTCGCGACCCTACCGTTTGTTTCAAGCAGATTGAAGCCGTTTTTGCCACACGCCGTGTTACTAGCGAACGTACTCGTTACTCATACGTAGTCCAATCTTTACATTTTGACGTCGCATATGCAGTTCAGGATCTTCTCGATCCCATCCCTAGACACAAGCCTTATTCTCGATTGAAACAGGCTATACTTAAGCGCACGGCACAATCTGCCGACAGTAAACTCAACCAGCTCCTCAACAATGTGGAGCTCGGTGATCAAACGCCTTCTGCCC